TTTTTTAAGACAATTGACCCCTGTGACCTTGAATATAATTGAAGGTCATTCATTTGAACAAACTTGGTAGCCCTTCACCCTAGCATGCTACTGACCAAATATCATCTCCCTGGGCAGTTTGGTTATTGAGAAGAAGTTGTTTAAAGTTTTTAACATATTTGACCCCTGTGACCTTGAAAATAGATGAAGGTCAGTTATTTGAACAAACTTGGTAGCCCTTCATCCCAGTTTGCTTCTGGCCAAATATCATCACCCTAGGCCTTTCGGATATTTAGAAGAAGTCGTTTAAAGTAAAATATTGACGCCGGACGACGGACGGACGGACGGACGACGGACGCCACACCACGGCATAAGCTCACTTGGCACTTCGTGCCAGGTGAGCTAAAAACTTAAGGTACAAACTTATAGATGACAACCTGAGGTACAAACTTATAGGTAACAACCTAAGGTACAAGCTTATAGGCGACAACCTGATGTACAAACTTATAGGTAACAACTTGAGGTACAAACGTATAGATGACAACCTGAGGTACAAACTTATAGATGACAACCTGTGGTACAAAATTATAGGTAACAACTTGAGGTACAAACTTATAGGTAACAACTTAAGGAACAAACTAATAGGTAAAACCTTCAGGTACAAACTTATAGATGACAACCTGAGGTACAAGCTTATAGGTAATAACCTAAGGTACAAACGTATAGGTAACAACTTGAGGTACAAACTTATAGGTGATAACCTAAGGTACAAACTTATAGGTAACAACTTAAGGTACAAACTTATAGGTAATAACCTAAGGTACAAACTTATAGATGACAACCTGAGGTACAAGCTTATAGGTAATAACCTAAGGTACAAACGTATAGGTAACAACTTGAGGTACAAACTTAAAGGTGATAACCTAAGGTACAAACTTATAGATGACAACCTAAGGTACAAAGTTATAGGTACATTTAACAACCTGAGGAACAAAGTTATACATTCAGACCTGAAGTACAATGTTAAACATTCAGACCTGAAGTACAAAGTAATAAAGTTGTATGTTAAAACATGAGGCACAACATTCTAATTATGTCCTCAAGTTAAATTTATGATAATAAATATCGTAACAAGATGTGTAGTTTTGTGTTGCACTCTCACTGATGACAGAACATCAAAGTTCATATTTCTGTTTTTATGATGAGACAAATACTAAATACCCTCATACATGAGACAAAACTAATTAGTACTGAGAAAGAAATCACATGATTTTAAGGTCCCAGCTGTGATAATTTGAACTCTAAAATCAGATAAGAAATGCAAACATTCAATGACAAGACATTTGAGAGGGATGGAGTTATCAGTATTAGACATGTGGTAATATTTGGCTTGGTTGTATTAAACCTACACAAAGGTGAGAAGCTGATGTTTGTGGTTGAGTTTGCCTTGGAGATCCCTGGGTGTCTTTGTGTCCCCTTTATACTCTTCCACCTGTAGCAGATCTGGGTGGCAGGCAAACACACTTGTAGGGTGCAGCAAGATGAACGGCTTACTCTGGACAACAGATAAAGTTCACTTACAGACGGAATAAACGTAAAAAGATAGTGTAATCTTACAAATGGTGTAACCTTCATTAGATAGTATTAACAAACAGATAGTGTATATTTCAACTCTTTTTACACAGAGCTTCTCTACACCATATGACTATGACAAGACAATACTGATGTCTCTGTAAGCGCTACTGTGTGGATGATACAAGTAGACTAATTTGATGCACATCAAAAGAATAGTGTAGCATAACCATGAAAGTGACCATGCAGCTTTGAAGTAGGGTATGTTGCTCCTCTGTCGATATTATCCTTAGTGATTTGTCAGTTTTATATACCTGAAAATAATCAAATGGCAAACTGTCTGCCTGTAACTTTTCTCATGACATTTCCAAAGTGTGTAGAGAACTCTTGGATTTTGAATAATTACAAATAGTGAAAACGTACAGGTAGTGTAAACTTACTGATGGTACGGTGTGAAAATGTCACCTTATTTACAATGATTCTCTAAGAGAACCACAAACAGTTGTGTGTAAATTTATCAATTGGTGTGAAGGATTGTTCAGCATCAAACTTTTATGTTGTAAACAGTGGGTACCTTGGTGTGGAAGGACTGTTCCGAGTCAGACTTGTAACTGTTACAGTCGTCAGCTATTGCTACCTGTGGGTACAGACCACTACACAGGATGATCTTCAGGAGGTTTACATCACGGCGACTAAAGTTACGATTCTTGTTAGAGGTTTCCTGCAGATCAAATGAGTAGTCATAGTTAACTATATGTAATAATGACAATAGCATACATTTTACTTTTGCTATAGATAAACAGGTTTAAGTACATTTATTCCCTTTTTTAATGAAAATTTATCTTAAAGCATATGTTATACATGTATGATGATTGTAGTTAGGTTAAACCAATCTAAAATAACATACATTAATATGTAGGAACAAATATAGAAGTTTTAAAAGGGAAGGGGTGCCCAAATGGTTTTTGAGTATCCTTATGTTTATTTGATTCAATATTACTGGAAATTTGTAGATGTGTCTCGCAGCTTATGATTAATAAGACATGTCAGGCTACAGAATTTCATTTTTTGTTTTATTCTTATTATTTTCCTTTTTTTAAACATTTTACATATTATTAATATCAAAAGAGACAGGAGCCCTACAACCCCCTTCCCCCTAGGTCTATTGCCATTGATGATTGAAATTTTTTTATGCGTGTGGGTAAACTTACATGTAGTTTGTCTATGTCATGTGACAGACGAAACTCAAGGTCTTTGATATCCTCTCCTTTGTCATCCTCCTCTCCATCACTGATGGTGTAGTCCTATAAAGGATAAATGTCAAGGTTAAACAGACAGTGTAGTTGTGTTTGAGGTGAAGGTCAGGGTTGAAATGATGATGTAGTTCTGTCGAAAGTAAAGGTCAAGGTTAAAGTGATGGTGTAGTGATAGTTACCTTTGTCACAGGTAAAGGTCAAGGTTAATGTTTAATTGTTTGTTTGTGTTTAACGACCTATCGGCAGCTGAGGTCACTAAGGGCCATGGTGATTTATTTATTTCATTTTTTTGAACAAACGTGTCAGTAGCGAAGATAAATCAGATAAAAATGTTCATTTGTAAAAGTATTATTCGCACTGTATGTGTGTAGATAACTAAAATAAAAAGGGGGTTAAAAATAATAACAGAGATAACGAATAGATGACATGGACTATGTGTGATATATATAACGTCAAAGAGGTGGGTTAAAAGACATCAGAATTTATAGAATATACCGATGTCTTTCAAATAGTTAAATGATGCCTTCGAGTCCACGGAACTGAAAAGAGTTTTCAGATCTGAGACTCGAAAGTAGTTATCACGAATGTGTTTAAAATCGGAACATTCTATCAAAAAATGTTCTACTGTAAATGGAGTGTCACATGCGTGGCATGAAGGTGGATCATCTCGTTTTAAAAGGTGCGAATGAGTAGTATATGTGTGCCCAGTACGGAGCCGAGAGAGGACAACTTCCTCTCTACGAACTGTCTGACTGGGAACTGATGTTTTAAGTTTTGGTTGTACTTTAAAAAGTTTGTTGCTGCCATTCATTTTGAAGTTATTTTTGCTTTTTTTAAGATACTAGATATTCGAAAAGCAAGGTTTTGTACGAGTTTGTTTTTAGGATCTCGTAACCGTACACTTTGTATGACATTAAGAGAAACTGAACAAATGATTGGCGTTTTAATGCGGTGCTAAAAAGATGGATGCGCCGTCTCGTAGTCTAACTGAAGTGCAAGAATTAGCAGTACAGCAGGCTGCTGCCACTTTCTCACCTTCTTTCGAACCATCGGTGTAAAGTTGTGTATGAGAAGGGTAATTCGAAATGCATTATGGAAAGGAGGATTTGTGTTCTTCGGCATTACACTGGATTTCCCTCGCTCATGTAATGTAAAGTTAAAAATCAGGTGTTTGTATGGTCCATGGAGGAACATCAGATAAATTCAGCTATGTCCGTCAACTTTATGTTGAGTTCTTGCAGGAAATTTGAAATTCGGATACCAAATGTTGGCAGAAGTTTTTGGTTTTGCGTAAATATGTTCTGGTATTTTGGGTTGAATACTTGGCCGAAAGCAGGTTTTTAGGGTTTGATATTAATTGAGCTGCAAACTGTAGTGCAAGGTTAGAGTAATGGTGTGGTCCTGTTAAGGGTAAGACTAATGGTATAATCACATTAGAGGTAAAGTTAGTGGTTAAGGTCAGGGTTAAACTGATGGTATAGACCAGTCAGATGTAAATGTCAATGTTAAATTTCAATATATAAACCACATCAAGGACCCACAAACATAATAACGGCTAGTCAACTTTACACATCTACTTTAAACAGCCATGATAAATATCTGTTCCATTTATATTAGTATTACAGGTTGTCAATTTATACATGTAGGTTTTATGATTTTACCATTATTCTGACTATTGCTTCCCTAGAAGGTAAAAGTCTGTAAAGTAAGAATAACCTACATCAGCCATCAAGATGGTGCTCTTTTTGTCTTCCATTCTTCGATGTTTTGTTCTATTTCAGTCTTGATACGTAGAGTTAAAGTACATATATATATACTTCATGGGTACAGGGAAGTCAGTTACAAACTTCAGAATGATATCAAAGACAGTTTTATAAACCTAGTCTAGATACTGTAAATGTCCTCATTGTGACTCTTTCAACTAACCATGGCGTGGAAATTGTCCCACTTGCAATGGCTCTGAAATCTATATATTCTATAATCTATTAATAAATATTTGCATGTGGATATTGTCACACTAATTTAGTCAACGTGAAAAATGCGAGAATTTCCACTTTTGCAGTATAGAAGTGTAAGTTCACAGTTACATATTACATTATAGGTCTGAGTTCAGATAAGTAAGCGTCAAGGTCATATCTATACTTAAGTAGGATGAAGTTCACAGTTAAAGCAAAGCTCACAGTTCTATACAAGATAAATAGGGTCAAAATCACGTTTACAAACACACACACAAAAGAAAGATGATTGTCTACATCAATTCTCACCCCATCTTCCAGCTTCAGCACCTTCCTCCTCTTTGACTCATTGGCGTTCTCACGTTTCAGTTGACCCAATCGCTTCCTGTTTGCATGTTGTTTACGTCTTTCATCACTTGTGTAGAAACGCTCACTCTGTGCTGTGTTGTCCAGTAAATTGTGATCCTGTGTATGACAACATCATGTTCAAATGATAACTATATCCTCCAGTACTCATAAACATTAATACATGATCCAACGAAAAAACACCAAACCCTCAGACACAAATACTTAGTAATACCTTGTTAAACAGAAAATGTATGTTGCACTAGTTGTTTGTCTTTCAAAACATTCCATTATTCGTCTAACGTTCTGAGCATGTTTATCCATCAATATTTGAACCTTCGTTCCTTCGTCTTACAGCAATTGGAGATCAAATCATGTGATCAGATGAGATGAGACGAGATGGCCTGTGTGGGACCCCATTGCAGGAATATGGACTGTGAAATAAGACAGCAGCAAGCGATCGGAGTCATAACTTGACAGGGCCAGGTAGGCATAGTTGCCCCCCTCCCCCAAGAGGGTCAAGTCCTCACCATTCTCCCGAGCAGGTTTGGTTTGGTTTAATTTTGTTTCATGTCCTATTTACATTTAAGTTTTTTAAGGACGTACATCCATGTGTGTAGTGTATGCGTGCTTGCATGTGTGTGTGAAGGAGACATGGTATGTTGGTATGCTTGGATCCTTGTGATAGAGTGGATCTCATGCGAAGGCACCGACACACCAACATACCGCCCGGTCAAATTATACTGACACCGGTTGAACCAGTTGTTGTCATTCCCCTAAATGCTTAACATAACCAGGGAATAACAACGACCATCTTAAGGTCTTACGTATCTCCCGGCCAGGAGACAGAACCCATTTCTCCTCATCTGGGCGAACGCTCAACATTAAAAGCCAAAAGTTAGGTATTGCCATGCAAGGCGTTAGGAAATAAAAGATAGTTAGAAGTAGAACGAAAGATAAAGATCCAAAATATTGCAATGGATGTAGCAGATTTATTTTGGTCGCTTTTGTTTCCTTCCCCAAGTAGAGGGACAAAAAGCAAATCCCCAATTCTGCAGGGGGTTCACTCATAAGTCGCCTCTTACGATACATAGTTTCTCGATCCCCGACATGCAGGGGCGAGGTTTAGAAGAACAGAAGGATTCAAAGCCTTATAGAGTTTGGAACAAAGGGACTGCTTCTTCTCCTCTGTCAGCAAAATGACAATAACGAAGGGAAGAATTTGATTAGGCTTGGAGCTGGCCTGCTAGTTTTCATTTATGCAAGTGGCTATGTTAAAAAGTTTACATCAGAAGGTGTAGATGCACACCAGCTCATGATGGAAGCATCAATGGATGATGAAGTTGATGTATTGCAAAGGATCACAGATAATAAAGAACTGCTGGGATAAGTCCTGTTGGCTAAAGCACAGCTAACGCGGAGGCCTTCATCTTGTTAAGGTTATCTGCAAGTAATGTTTGCATTCGCCTTTCCCCACAGAAACATTAATCAATCCAGGAGTGTACCAGTTTCTCACTATACAACCTGTACACAACTGTGGTTCGTCCTTATCCGAAATTGTAATCAGGGAAAGAGCAACTTTATGTAATGTGGGTGAAAACAGAAAATAGCAGCGTACCAAATCATGTGGTCCTTTACAGAAGGTATCAAGAAGACGACTTCCAGTTAGAAATCTATATGTAAAGCTGCCTCGATTGATTGGGGCATGTGCCAGGGACATGGTTCATCAAATATCAGATGTGATCGTTGCCATTTATTCGGTAACCCTGAATGCTTTGTTATTGCCAAAGCATTATATAGCCTGAAAAGAGGGAACATAATTATCTGCTGTGGGGACGTCTCAACAATTCCAAAGATGGTCATCAACCATCAACATTGTGTAGCAATCAATCTTGCTGACATGGTTAGCCTGCAACCAGTGACCTGCATAACTAATTGGTTGACTATTTTATCGAAATAACAAGCAGTAACACGATGGGTTGTGTTGGGTTGGGTTATGTTGGTGTTCATCCACAATTGCCTGGGAGGTTGCAATAAAACACAACCCAAAACAGATAAAGCGCCATAGACATCAGTGATTTTTTTTAAGGAGAAACCTATAGTTATGTTTGTGGTGGCAGAGAGTGGACATTTCTTGGCAGTGGCTTTGCTGCAGAGTGAAAGAAAAGTACTGTTTTAGACAGTATTGAACATTATCAAGGCACATTTGAACACCATGCGTTTTATTTGAATAGGTTAATGGGCATTGAGGATACATTGCTGGTTGAATCCTTGTCCATTCCTCAGCAGAGCAACTCCACTGACAATGGTATTCACACCATCATCAACTTCGAGGCAATGTGCACGGTGCGTAGGCAGCTGAAGTAGGAGATGCAATCTTAAAATCATTTGAATTACACCGAAATTATACCATGATATATGGGTGAAAACAGAACATAACAGCGTACAAAACCATGCGGTCCCTCTGCAGAAGGTATCAAGAGGACGACTTCGAGTTAGATCCCTATATGTAAAGCTGCCTCGATTGATTGGTGCATGTGCCAGGGACTTGGTTCATCAAATATCGGATGTGATCGTTGCCAACAATTCAGTTATCCTGCTGAGGGGACGCCTTAACAGTTCCAAAGATGGTCATCAACCATCAACATGATGTAGCAAATTAATCTTGAGCCTGCAACCAGAGACCTGCATAACTAATCGGTTGACTATTTCATAGAAACAACAAGCAGTAACACGATGTCTAAATTATGTTGGTGTTTACCAACAATTGCCTTGTAGGTTTCAATAAAGAACAACCCAAAACAGATAAAGCGCCATATACATCAGTGGAAGGATATCATGGAGAAACCTAGAGTTATGTTTGTGGTGGCAGAGAGTGGACATTTCCAGGCAGGGGCTTTGTTGCAGAGTGAAAGAAGAGTACTGTTTTAGACAGTATTGAACATTATCAAGGCACATTTGAACACCATGCTTCTTATTTGAAAGGATTAATGGGCATTGAGGATACACTGTTGGTTGAATCCCTGTCTATTCATCAGCAGATCATGTGTGACTGTTGTATTCACATCATCATCAATTTTGAGGCATCTTTCAACATCTTCTTAAGATCTTTCAAAAAGGATATATGAAAAACTGAATTGCAAGGATACATATCATGAAATAATACAAGCTTAACACTGTATATAGGCAGCTGAAGCAGGAGATTCTGGCAGAGCAGAATTTTTTGTTTGTTTGTTTATGTTTAACGGCCCATCGACGGCTGTGGTCATTTAGGGCCATGGTGATTTATTTATTTATTTTACTTTTTTAACAAACATGTGAATAGCGAAGATAAAATCAGATAAAATGGTTCATTTTAAAAGTATTCGCATTGTATGTGTAGATAATTAAAAATAATAAAAGGGGGTTAAAATAATAAAAGAGATAACGAATAGATGATAACGAATATGCGATATATATATAACGTCAAAAAGGATAAGGTGGGTTAAAAGACATCAGAGTCTATAAAATAGACCGATGTCTTTCAAATAGTTAAATAATGCCTTCGAATCCACGGAACTGAAAAGTGTTTTCATATCCGGGACTCGGAAGTAGTTATCACGAATGTGTTTAAAATCGGAACATTCTATTAAAAAATGCTCCACTGTAAATGGAGTGTCACATGCGTGGCATGAAGGTATATCTTCTCGTTTTAAAAGGTACGAATGAGTAGGATATGTGTGCCCAGTGCGGAGCCGAGCGAGGACAACTTCCTCTCTACGATCTTTCCGACTGGGAATAGATGTTTTAAGTTTCGGTTGTATCTTAAAAAGTTTGTTGTTGGTCTCCAGAGACCAGCGTTTCTGCCATTCATTTTGAATGGCTGTACGAATAGTAGGTTTAAAATCTGTGTATGGTAGTTTGATATTTGTTTGTTCGAGATTCAATGCATTTTTTGCTTCCCTGTCAGCAAATTCGTTGCCTTTTATTCCGACATGGCTCGGAATCCATAGTAAAGTTATTTTAGACTTTTTTAATATACGAGATATTCGATGAGCAAGGTTTTGTACGATTGTGTTTTTAGGATCTCGTAACTGTAAACTCTGTAGGACAGATAGAGAGTCTGAACAAATAATTGCCTTTTTAATGCGGTGTTCATCGATATGGTCGAGGGCCAAACCAATGGCGCATGCTTCAGCAGAAAAGATGGAGGCGCCGTCTGGTAGTCGGACTGAAGTGCAAGTATTGGCAGTACAGCAGGCTGCTGCCACTTTCTCACCTTCTTTGGAGCCATCGGTGTAAAGTTGTGTATGAGAAGGGTAATTCGAAATGCATTCCCGAAAGGAGGATTTGTGTTCTTCGGGCATAACACTTGATTTCCCTCGCTCATGTAATGTAAAGTTAAAATCGGGGGTTTGAATGGTCCACGGAGGAACATCAGATATGTTAAATTCAGCTATGTCCGTCAATTTTATGTTGAGTTCTTGCAGGAAATTCAAAATTCGGATACCAAATGTTGGCAGAAGTTTTTGGTTTTGCGTAAATATGTTTTGGTATTTGGGGTTGAATACTTGGTTGAAAGCAGGATTTTTAGGGTTTGATTTTAATTGAGTTGCAAATTGTAATGAAAGTTTTATTCTTCTGTCATAAAGGGATGGTTCATTTGCTTCCACGTACAGGCTTTTTACAGGTGTTGTTCGAAAAGCTCCCAGGGCAAGACGTAGCCCTTGGTTATGGATTGGATCTAGCATCTGAAGGTNAAGACGTAGCCCTTGGCTATGGATTGGATCTAGCATCTGAAGGTACGAACTGCGCGCCGACCCGTATACCATAGAACCATAATCCAGTTTTGTTCGAATAAGTGATCTGTA